TTGTGTGTGTGCCGTTCAGATGAGCAGGAAAATAATTATATCCTACACAATTACTTGCGAACAAAGGTTATTCGTCCAATTCAATGCATTTGTACGCATTGTTATTATTATTTTAAATAAACAAAATCACTGGTAAATAAAACACACCTTAGTATCGATATTTGTAGTTTGAGTATCACGTCAGTATCGATATATAGATACTTAGTATCGATATTTTTAGTTTGAGTATCGCGTCAGTATCGATATATAGATACTTAGGATCGATATTTTTAGTTTGAGTATCGCGTCAGTATCGATATATAGATACTTAGGATCGATATTTTTAGTTTGAGTATCGCGTCAGTATCGATATATAGATACTTAGGATCGATATTTTTAGTTTGAGTATCGCGTCAGTATCGATATATAGATACTTAGGATCGATATGCCCATCCCTACCAGACATCACTTGCGCGTGCACGCACAACAACATTTGAGCAACAATTAATCTATCAAACATACAAAATGGTTGTTTGAGATGAGCGGGAATACGATGACACACATTTACATATCTTGATGACCGTTTTATATTATTTGATAATATAAGTCATGCAAGATTTGTAAATCAGAACTTAAAGTTGTTTTGGTAAAAGAGAATTCGATACCAATTTCATCCTAATTGAATATAAATTGACGCTTTGACAAATAGCGCATATAGCTATGTATTGAGTTATTAGGAAAAAAATACCGCAATATCCGGCATATACAGTAAAATGCTAAATGCCACTGAATTTTGCGTGTTTAAATGGGATTTGTTTCTATAGATTAACTTTCTAAGCAGAGCAATATAAAGTTCTATACACTAAAACGTTTCCTCAACAGTCTGAGAGGTAAACACTACAGCACGTTCACTGGGGTGAAAACATAGAGACGGAAAGGCACAGCGCAAGAGCCAAAGAGGTACATTTTAGGGATCTTTTCTGTAAGAAATTCTTTCACGAAACATAACATTGTATATAGGCTATAACAAACTTCTGACTTCAGTTACTTAATAAAACAAGTGTCATTAAAGACCACTTTCTGATCCAAAGGTCCCCGAATAAAATAAAACACACCCTCTTGCCCAACCTAGGTGGGCACTGATGGGATCGAAGAAAGAAGCAATAGAGTGACCCAGTGTGTCTAGTGATTCGCCAAACAATTACGTTGCGAGACTCAATATTATTATTGATTAATGATAATGTAATAAAACATATAGAATTATCCGTGCTTTAGAGCCGAAATTATACTTTGTATTAAAATTTACATTAGGTAATACCATTAAGTCTACGGTTCAGACTTATTTTGATAAAACAGACACTACATAGGCCTATTATTTTACAGTTTTATTATGCCTGGTTTTATTATCATACACAAAGTTTCTTGACTAATTTAAAATCCCAATTAGACCCGGAGAATATGCCACTGTAATGGATGCTATACCCAGTAAGGTATTATGTCTTCTTAAAAATGAATGTAATGAAAACCCTAATCTGGATTACATAACTAATTCAATTTTTATTGGAAATATTAATATTTAAAAAAAACAACATACCAAATAAATACATTAGAAATTTAGTAAATTATGTTACATATCCTCCAGCTAGATTTTTCTGGTCATCAATATTTGGAGACTTAAATTGGCGTAAGGCTTGGAGAATGGTTGATAAATTCTTTGTTAATAACAAAATAAAGGAAGTTTCGTATAAAATATTGCATAGAATTTATCCGGTGAAACATATATTGGAACGTTTTAAATTGAATATTGACTACTCCTGTGAATTTTGTAGTAATGAAAAAGAAACTATTTTTCATTTATTTTTTCATTGCATCTATACAAAGATATTTTGGGTTGATGTTGAGAATTTCATTACAAGAAAACTTAATAAAGTTGTTGAACTGGGTGGGTCTGATATAATGATATATATATTGATGATTATGGGATAGAAAAGGATAAAGCGTATATTATTCAATTACTGGTTGTAATGGGGAAGTTTCATATACACAAAATTAAGTGGTCGGGTGGTAAACCACATTTTTTAAATTTTATCAACGAATTTAAACAATACTGTAATATGGTATATAAATGTAAAACAAAAAAAGCTCTCAGGACTTCTAACATTATCTGCAAATTTGAAATAGACAAGTAAACTGTACCGTCTTCATTATTTTAGTTGTTTTATTTATTTATTTTATGTATTCTTTCTTCCTCTGGCTAATTTTTTATTTTACTTGTAATCTTGTGTACTGATGCATTTATATGCAAAGTTGTATTTCTCTTGCTGTTATATATGTTCATATGCAATAAAAAAATAAAATAAAATAAAAAAAATTAAGCGCTGTTGGAAGTGAATGAATTGATTCAGTATTTCGACACCTCCGTAAGGATGCATTTAACTCGACAAAGCGGTCTAATAAAGGATGTATTGATCTCGTGAATTAGCAAATTTTACTATACAAATATTTTTTAATTGGATGTTAAAGTTTATATGGGAATATTACATGACACGCTGATCCTTTAACAATGCATTGGCGCAAAAAACGCACCTTTTGGACAAATCTGCCACAAATATTTGGACAAATGTGCCACAAATACTGCCTAAACAAAATACTGATTTTGTGCACTTTATTTACTGTACCAATATTTAAAATTGGCCTTTGAACTTAGCTTTATTGCATGGCAAAAAAAAGTGTTACCTTGCCAAAGCACTGACAGAGCCCACTGATCTAATGGCGTTGTTGAGCGCTCCAGATGCAAACTTTGCATGCAACAATCAGGCAGCAATTGACAGCACTCTGATCTAGTGGCATACAGGCATCGTCAGATGGACAGTACTCTAGCCCAATAATGTTGGGGGATCCAGTGGGGGCGTCAGTCATATTTCAGGGTGACAGTGCTACTCTTTATCACAACCCTGCTAAAAGTGCCAGTACATGCGCTCATTGGCGCCCCTTCAGCTGGTGGCGACCGCCTAGCTCGCCTATGCCTAGAAACGGCCCTGCCTGTTTCTTTATGACAGAACATAAACATATTTGATTTTGTCCAACTTGTATTTTTGTTTTTAAAAATATCAGTAGTTAAGTGTATCCACTCAGCTCCATTTTGTTTATCCATTCTTGATTTTGTCACAGTGATCACCACCATTGTGCTGTTATGGCTTGTTTTAAGACCCACTTCAAAGTCTCTACTTCTAGACCAAGGAAAACATACCCATGTGGCTACAGCAAGAATAATGTTAAGGTGTTCATATTATTATGCATGTGCCAGACATGAACACCAATGCATGTACATATTTATCAGAATTATACGATTAATCAGAATAACCCTGCTTGCCTTAGTGTTATCAGAAATGTTTGTTATATTTCCCCATATAACCTTTGCACATGTACATTTTAAGTCCTTAAAGCTGTTGGCTGGTCATCAAATGTTTACTAGTTTGAAGACATCTAGTGAAAAGAAAAATCCAGTTTGTGTCTTTTTGTTGCTGCCCTATAGTAGGGAAGCCCAATCCTGCCTCTGGATAGCTACTGTCCTGCAGAGTTTAGCTCCAACCCCAATTAAACACACCTGAAGCAGCTAATCAAGGTCTTACTACACCAGTGGTTCCCAACCCTGGTCCTGGAGGCACCCCAACACTGCACATTTTACATGTATCCTTAATCAAACACACCTGATTCAGGTCATCAGCTCATTAGTAGAGACTCCAACATCTGAAATTGGTGTGTCAGAGAAAGGAGACATGCAACATGTGCAGTGTTGGGGTGCCTCCAGGACCAGGGTTGGGAACCACTGTACTAGACATACTAGATCAGCAGTGGCGAACTCCGGTCCTGGAGAGCCGCAGCCCTGCAGAGTTCAGCTCCAACCCTAATTAAAACTCACCTGCCTGTAGCTTTCTAGTAACCCTTCAGACCTTGATTAGCTTGTTCAGGTCTGTTTGATTAGGGTTGAAGCAAAACTCTGCAGAGCTGCGGCTCTCCAGGACTTACGTTCGCCATCCCTGTACTAGATACTTCAAGACAGCTGTGTTGAGGCAAGTTGGAGTTAAACTCAGCAGGACAGTGGCCCTCCAGGACCGAGTTTGGATGGAAACCTGTTCATGGAAGGCCACTGTCCTGTAGAGTTTAGCTCCAACCCCAATTAAACCCACCTGAAGCAGCTAATCAAGGTCTTCAGACTTACTAGAAACTTCCAAATTTGCAGGCAAGTGTGTTGGAGCTACACTCTGCAGGACGTTGGCACTTCCATGAGCAGGATTGGACACCCCTGCTGAAGATAGTTCTATCACATCCATCTCTAGTGCATATGTTGGCAAAGGGCCATCTTTCCTATCTGAACACATTCTAACGTACATTCATCTGAAATGGAATTCTCTAGTCCTTCATCAGTTAAGAAAACAACTGTTTATTTATTGTTGCTATATTAAATAGGAGAGAAGACAAAATATTGATAATGGAAATATATGTACAGCTTATTTACTGTAGTCAAAAGAGGAAGTGAATCAATGAGCAGTCTTTCTCTCACTTACTACAATGACAAGACAAAGGGTAGGCCATGAGCAACAGAATAAAAGAACGTCACTGCGCTTCAAAGCTGTCTAGTTCAGTCATCAATGATTTTATATAATGCTTGTGAAATCTATGCTCATGTGATCTGTATGATCAGTACCAGAAGATGACCATGTTGAACTGTTACGTAACTACACTCTAATGCAAAACCTAATAAGAAATGAAACTGAGCTGATGTATACAGCCTGCCTGACAATACATTGGTACATGCATGAAAAGGGTCACGTTCTCTACTAGTCAGTTCTACTGATCATTCCTACTTGGATGACTTTAATCCTCCTCCTCTTAAATGCAAAAACAAATTAGGCCTTAAAATAGCTCGCAACCCAAATGCATACATTCAAACATTTCTTCATTTTGTTCAATTTAGGATTCATGCCATTAGTTCATGCCTTTAAAAAAACATCACATTCTCAGGAAACAAAATATGGAAAATTGTATTTTAAAGCACCCACTCTGGTGTTCAAAGTCACACTTGGGTCCAGTCTTGTCACATTCCCGCGAGCAATGCAGACTGAAGCACAACAGATGAGCGTGTGGTCGGGTTAAACCGAACAGAACATAAAACAAAACAGTAAGTGAATCTGGAAAGATAAATTATTCTATTTAAAAGAAAAAGAAAAGGAACACTTTACAAACAAGATTTACAAATGACCTTCAGCTACAAACCCAATTTGACACATTTGCTGACCTTCATGTGTGATGCAGTTGCAATCCAAAATCATGACCTCTGGAAACTCGTTTAACACTTGCAACACTTAACCAAGCACATATTTAAAAGCCACACTGAGATCTGTGGCTGTTGTTATTGACCTGTTAGTACTACAGTCTTTCAGTATTTCCCCACAGTAAAACATAACCATTTCTAAACTGTCTCCTGCTCAGCATGTGTCAAGTGTAGAAAGTCAGAGCTCCTGCGGTGACCTTTGACCTTATCACTGTAGTTGGACTCTGTATGCACAAATTAGGAGTTTAACCTGTGGAAAAAGTGAAACATTTCCTGATTAATACGTTTTAATTACATTATGAACTTTCTACTCAAAATCATCCATTCAGAATGGATAAAACAGAATCAAACAAAATGATTCTCTAACAAATCAGATGTTATTTATTTTTTTATTCATATTGCCAAGACTTTTCCGGGTCTGAAAAATAGCATTAAAGTCGTAACTTTATGGAAGTAGCGCAAGATCATTTCTTCCATATTGTGATGTACAACTGAGGGAAACTGATTATCAAACAAGGAAAAAATAGGGCAGGACTTGGTTCTTTCTGTCAGTTGTTGATTGGATGGAGGCAGATCTGAACGCAATTAACTGGACTAAATGATTAGAGAAGTCCAGCATATGTCACAAGAGAGAAGTCTGTTGTTTCACTGAAAGATCAAGTTATGACATTTTGATAAAGAATTACCAGGTCAAAAGAGGAACATACATGGATGAAATGTTCACAAAACGATCAATTAGATGCATTTAAAAAAACAAATTTTAACTTTAACATTCCCTGATATTTCCAAAGAACCATGGAAACCCAGTTAGCCACAACTAGCTATTATTTTACAAAGCCCTATCTCAATTATTCACACTTCCTTTGGAGCACGTTCAGGCATTTATACAGCAGCATTTAAACCATCTCATATAAAAATGTGTGAAAGTCCTAGGTACCTTAGCTGTGGGCGACTCTGCCAGACGGATGAACAGTTTGTTGGTTCCTTGAACAGGACTGAAAGAGTATATGAAATGGCTGTCCTGCAGGGGGAGCAGCACGCAGTATGTGAGAGACTGCAGACATTCAACAGAACAAAGAGACGATAAATTTGAATAAAGATTGATTGTGACATCAGTGGCTTACCAAGAAGATGGGCAGCTGAAACTTATCATTCAGGACGACAGCATGAACACTACAGGGCCCACAGAGTCTAGCTGTGATCTCATTAAGGAAGTTTGCATGGAAGATAAAAAGCAGGATGCCAGATCCTAAGACAGAAAGCACAATAATAGCTAACTAATTCAGTAAATAAAATTGCAGTTATTGAGAACAGACAAAATTAAAGTGAGTATTTCACCTTCTCCGGGTGTGTGTTGAGGGGGTTTGTAGTTGAATTCCAGTGAAAAGTCTGGCCCTTCGCACAATCTATGGCAAGCCAAAGGGAATACAGGTTCCAGTAGGGCCAGCCGCGTTTCAAAATATGCTCTGATTGTCTCCTCCGCCACAGTTGATAACCTGCAAGATGCATTTTCACACATGCATCTTATTTTAATAGCTATATTTTCATCGTGCCCGTGTCCTACATCTTTAAATATATGTGACCCTGGACCACAAAACCAGTCATAAGGGTCAGTTTTTCGAAACTGAGATTTATATTAGCTGAATAAATAAGCTTTCCATTGATCTGAAAAATCTGGAATCTGAGGGTGAAAAAAAAAGAAAAAAAAAAAGAAGAGAAAATCGCCTTTAAAGTTGTCCAAATTACCCTACAGAAATAGCTGCTGTACATGCTTGTGTCAATTGCCTTTAGTCTGTTACGAGTTCTGAAGACAAAAGCGGTATTCTTGATGAGGTTGTAAATACAGCTCCTCTGTTTGGGGCAACATGACGTGTTTGTTCCAGAAATCTGTTGCACAACAAGATATATCTGAGAAAAAGCCACACATTTCAGACTACTTAAAATTTTAGCCTGAAAGGAGAGGAAGTGAGGTCATATCACTGTCCCATTGCCAAGATCATTTCCACTATGCATGAGCTGGCACAAGGAAATCTTCAGTCTGTTGATGTGCATGCTTAAGTCAAGTGACTCTTACTGGGTAGTTTTGAAGTTTTGATTCTTGTTCACTGCTGTGTTTGTGCCATACAGGACAGTGGTGCAGAATCATTTCTCACCTGGAGGTCCAAACTGGACAGAATGAACTGGGAGGAGCCTGCCGTTTTGTTTCTTCTTGAGTAAAAGGGAGCGACTCTTATCTCTAAGGTAGATGGGTTTTTTTATTGGGTAAAAACAAATGAATTCAATGTATTAATTCAATGCTACTGTTGAAAAGTTTGGGGTCTGAATTATTTTCTTGTTTGTTTGTTTTTGAAAGAAGTCTATTATGGTCGACAAGGCAACATTTATCATTTATTTGATCAAAAATACAGTAAAACAGTTAAACTAACTAATATTGCAATTTAAAATATTATTTTCTATTTTATTTTACTCTAAAATGTAATTTATTCCTGTGTTGACAAAGTTGAATTTTTTGCAGCCATTGCTCCAGTCTTCAGTGTCACATGATCCTTCAGAAACCATTCTAATATGCTGATTTGGTGCTCAAGAAACATTTCTTACTATTGCCAATGTTGAAAACAGTTGTGCTGCAGTTTGTGGAAATGGTGATGCTTTTTTTCATGATTCTTTGATGAATAGAAAGTTCAAAAGAACAGCATTTATTTGAAATAGATTTTTTTTGTAACATTATAAATGTAATCCTGGACCACAAAACCAGTCATAAGGGTCAGTTTTTCGAAACTGAGATTTATATTAGCTGAATAAATAAGCTTTCCATTGATCTGAAAAATCTGGAATCTGAGGGTGAAAAAAAAAGAAAAAAAAAAAGAAGAGAAAATCGCCTTTAAAGTTGTCCAAATTAAGTTCTTAGCAATGTATATTACTAATCAAAAATTAAGTTTTGATAGATTTATGGTTTTGTAACGAAATTTACAAAATATCATGGAATATGATCTTTATTTAATATCCTACTGATTTATGGCATAAAAGAAAAATCAATAATTTTGACCCATACAATGTATTTTTGGCTATTGCTACAAATATACCCCAGCGACTTAAGACTGGTTTTGTGCTCCAGGGTCACATATACGTGGCGGTGTTCGAATAATGTAGCAATGAGACACTCACGTTTGCATATGGTCTTTGATGAGATCATATATCATCAAATTGTTGCTAAGTTTGGCATAGTACAAGGCAGTGTTCTTATGTTTAGACAAGATGTTGCAGTCAGCGCCATATTCCAGCAGGAGGCGAACCACATCTGCATTGCCCCTCTTGCAAGCCTTAAAATTAATAATACAACAATCAGCACTCAGTACAGATCAAAATTTATAACTTAAAATGATAACTTAAAAGTGCAAACTGTCTGATAGCTAAAGCACAACTTAATTTCTAAACTAAAAAATAATATACAGTACTGTACAAAAGTTTGGGGTCAGTATAATTTATTTTTTTTGGAAAGAATTGAATACTTTTATTCAGCAAGGATGCTATAAATTGAGAAAACAGTCACAGCAATGACATTTATAATGCTACAAAAAAATTTCATCTTCAAATAAATACTGATTTTTAACTTTCTATTCATCAAAGAAACCTGAAAAAAAGCATCACGGTTTTCACAAAAATATTAAAGCAGCACAGCTGTTTTCAACATTGATAATAATAAGAAATTATTCTTAAGCAGCAAATCAGCATATTAGAATGATTTCTAAAGGATCATTTGAAACTGATGAATGGAGTAATGTCTGCTGAAAATTCAGCTTTGCATCACAGGAATGCATTACAAAGAAAAGTTTTTAAATTGTAATAATATTTCATATTCATTCTGTTTTTACTGTATTTTTGATCAAATACTTGCAGTTTGATACGCTTAATAGTTTTTGGTTTTCTTTTCCTTTCAAAAACATTTTTTTTAAATCTTAACGAACCCAAACTTTTGAATGGTAGAGTATACGGACAAAAAATCTATATAACTACCAATCATAGGGTCATTAACAAGCCGGTTTCTGTTTGTAGAGATCTAATTCCCAGATCAATATAACAGCCTTCTCACCTTCATGAGAGCGGTTTCTCCACCCAGAGTTTGGGCATTTACAGATGATCCTGCCTCTAGGAGAATGGCCACTGTTGTCAAGAAGTTCTGCACCAAACAGAACAAGTTATTAAAATAGATTGTTGTGGACTTGTGTACTTAACGAAATGAACCTTAGTGCTTAACTATACTAAGACAAATACAACAATACTATACTAAAAATGCTAATACTCTCTTGCATTAGTGGTTGAAGTGAAAAGAGTCAATGAGGGTTCCTGTGATGTTCTGCACCTTTTCAGCAGCATGCATCAGGGCAGTGGTGCCGTTCTTCTGTCTAGCGTTAACCTTTACTCCTTTCTTAATGAGCAGCCTGAGGACGTCATCCTGACCGCCTGCAGCAGCCAACAGTGTTAAGGACATGCCGCTAGAGTCCTGCAGGTGGTAGCACATACACAAAACATTCAAAGATATTCACATGGCATCCTCTCAAATAGTACTTAGACCAAGGGATCAAGGTATGGCTGCCTTGCTAAAGGTCCAGTTAGCCTCTGCTAGGAGATGCTCCAATTACACCATCTGGATCCAAAAAGTATGATTCTTCATTGATTCAATTCAAATATTTCATTACATATATTAGATGTTTTAACAGATGTTAACAGCTAACTTTCTGCAGGTATTATAGACAATTATGTTCGACTGAAAACATTGACTGCATAATGGTTAACCCATGATGAACTACAACATGACACAGTTCTCTGATGAGTCATTAATATAGATTCAAGACAGAGACAGGCAGAGAGGAAGAGAGAAAAGGAAATAAGTAACATACCTCCTGGTCCAGATTGTAGTCCTCTTTGGAACTAAGTGCACGTTTTACCGCCAGGTAATTCCCATTCTTCACTGCTTCTCGCAGCTCCGCTGAAAGTTACATGGTAAACAGAGCAAGACAGAAGAGGAGAGAAAAATGATGAGGAAAACTTTCATCAACTGAAAAGTTACAATAAATGAAAGACGGACCTAAAATATGCCATTCAGGAGGGATTTGTGCTGTTGTTTTTCTGTGTGGGTATCACTTACCAGGAGTTAAGGCTAGCGGAGAGAGATTCTCATCCTCTCCATTCAAGTGTTTCTGAAAGTCCTCCAGTGTCATCCAATCCAGCTTGAGCTCCACCCCAAGATTAAGAGATGGCGGTCCCCTGTCTGTCACACAGAAACATGTTGTTAGCATTCAGAGACTCAGAAACAGCTTGGGATCCCCAATATATCAGCTGCCACATGCATAGCCATAATAGAAAAATAATTGATCACAAGGGATGTGTTCTTCCATTAAAAAAAAACAGCTAAATTAAGTGCCAATTAGGGCTGCATCAAATCGACAAATTCATCAAACTGAAAAAAGCAAACATAAGAAATTAATATTTCACTCAAATAAAAGATTTAAGAAAAATACTATAATTTTACATACAACTTTAAAAACACAATAATTACAATAATCATCAACTTCATCATCAGCACGGATGGGCTTACTTTTTCCATGTTTGAATATTAAACCATCAAGCTTTAATTTTCATGGAAAACCGCTGGGAACCCTTAAAGCTTTTCTTGTGTTGACAGTGACACTGCCAGTTGATAAACACTACTCATTAAAAGTATGTAAAGATGATTGGAGCTTGTTGCGTTTTGAAATTCACATTATAAGCAACCTGAACCCAGAGCAGATGCAGAGATGGGTTTGTTTGGAGAAGCATTTAATGCGAATAGACACTGAAAACACCAGATCACGAGCTGCTCGCGTGTAAAAGAACACAATGCTACCCTTCACTCTAAATCACACTATGCATAGATTTAATTAATTAAATCAAAATCTTTGCAATTTGATACTCACTAAGCCATATCGCTATTTACATTTTATTTCAATTAACCATGCATGCCTAGTGCAAATGAACAGTATGCAGGTGTCTCAAGACATGTTTTCAAAAGTTGAAACTCTTTTAACTTTACATTGCCAAATACAAACCAGGAGTTTTGTCAGAGCGCTCCATGGTCTCCCGAGAGTCCTGATTGTCATCGCAGGCGGTGAAGACCCGTGATTCACTGTCATCCCTCCTTCTCCTCCTCTTGTCCTTCCATCTGGAGTCTTCTGTCGAGTCAGGAGATGCTATTGACTCAGTCATGGACTTCCTTTCCAGCCGCTCTTGCCGGGCCTCCTCTGCAAGCCTCTGCGCCTCCTCCATGCGTGCTTTTCTCTCCCGTTGGGCTTCCTCTATTCTCTCCTTCTTCTTTCTCTCCTCTTCTTCAATCCTTTCTTTCCTCTTTCTCTCCTCCTCTTCCATCTTTTCTTTCCTCTTCCTTTGCTCTTCCTCTCTCTGCTCTCTTTGTAATTCCTCCTTAGACTTGGGGGCCAGTTCGTCTGATTTATCACTTTTCTCGGATGTTCCCTTCTCCTGTTTCTCCTCGATCTCCATAGAGAAGGGACTCTGACCAGGTCGAGGCACTGGTAGGAGAAGAATGTAGTGGTGAATCAAACAAAAGACCATTAAGAATGAAAAATTGAAGTCAGCTACAAATGTATTTTTACCATCTTTTGCCTTCTCTGTCTTGTCTGAATCAGGTTTCCGTGCAGGAGACTGCTTGGACAATTTTGTTTTCTTGTCATTTTTCCCTGCACCCTGTAAAACAAGTGGGAAAAAAAGTCAAAAACAAGTGGGGGGAAAAAAGTCAAATCACAAACATATTTTTTTTGAAGACAAAAAAATAAAATCATTCATGTCTGTAAAAAAAAAATAAAAAAAGTTGATACTTAAAGTGTCATTGAAAAGGTTGTAGTAAACTTTTTAAAGAAATCAATACTTTTATTCAACGAGGATGCATTAAATTGATCAAAAGTGATAGTAAAGACATCAAAGAATCATGAAAAATCTATCACTGTTTTCACAAAAAAATATTAAGGAGCACAATTGTGTTCAACAATGATAATAAGAAATGTTTCTTGAGCAACAAAACATTTCTGAAGGATCATGTGACACTGAAGACTGGATGACTGCTGAAAATTCAGCTTTACCACCATAGGAATAAATTACATTTTAAAATATATTCAAATAGAAAACAGGTGAGAAAACAATTATTGTGAAATAAATTATAATAATGCTTCACAATATTATGGTTTTTGTTGTATTTTGGTCAAATAACCCTTGGTGAAAATAAGGGACTTCTTTCAGTTCTTTCTTTTAATTAGCATAATAATAATAATCTGGTATTAGTTGTTTTAACAGATGTACAACAAAAAAGCCAAAAAAAAAGGAAAGGAAGAAAATGGGTTACATCAGAGTTTTAGACCTGTACCTTTGGAGTTATATTCTTGTTCTGGTCCGCTTGTCTCCTTGGTACACGATCTTTTGCCTCACAGTTCAACAGGAACTTCTCAAACAAGTTAGAGGCACCTCCCTTTTCACCAACTTCTTCCTTCGGCTCCTCCTCTTTGGGCTTGATGGGGGCTGTTGATGCTGTGGAGGATGAGGAGGAGGAAGAGGCAGATGAAAGCTTCTGAGAAGGTGGGCCTGCTTCCTGCCCTTTGCTTTTAACCTTTGACTTGGGTGCGGACGTAGCTGCCCCCGTGTCACTGGAGTCGGGCTCCTCCTCGCTTCGAGATGACTTGCTAGTGCTCTTGCTACTAGTAAAGCTCTTGTGCTTGTTTGCACCACTTTCTTTAGGTGTGGCCGTTGAAACCTCCACTTTTTTAGGTTTCTTCTCTTGAATCAGGTCTTTGAAACCTTGCAGCTTCAGGTCAGACTTGGCCTTCTTCTGCTTGGCCTGCTTGAGATCACCTCCACTCTCACTTCTTGCAGATTTGTCTGTGGCTTTTGCTGTCATGGTTTTGAAGGAATCGTTTGTTTCTGTGTTTGTTGTATCATCCGTGTGGGACTCCGAGGGCACGTCGCTCTTCTCATCCTCTTCATCTGAGGTATCAATCTCTTTTTTTGACTTTACTTTCTTTTTCTTGTGGTCCTCTCCACTCTCTTTCTTCTGTTTTCCACCATCTTTATGCTTGTCAAGCTTCTTTTGTTTCTTGGGAGTAACTGGGGCATCATCGTCATCATCAGAGTCAATGAGCCTCTTCTTTGTGTCTTTTTTAGGAGGTGCAGGGGAAGGATCCCTGCTCTCTGCCTCCTCCTCATCAGACTCCGGTGCAGGCAGAGGTTTGTCTTCCCACCATTTCTCCTTCTTTTTTTTCTTCTTCTTTTCCTTCACAGGCATCTCATCATCTGATTCCTCCACTTTCTTCTTTTTCTTCTTCTTTATTGGTGATTCTTTCTGTTTTTCTATATCACTGTCACTCTCAGAATCAGCATCAAACAAATCACTCTTCATGGGCAGCTTCTAGGTACCACGGAGCACAATCAATATTCCCAAAGACTTCATCAAGTAAACCAGATATAGAAAAACAACAATCATGTGAACATATCTTTAGAGTCTCACCAAGCCAGTTTCCTTCTTTGGCTTCATCTCAGCCAGGGCCTTCTTGTAGGCAAGCAGCACCTCTCTGCAGTCGTCCAAGTGTGCCTCAGGCTCCCAGGTGTCATCGTCCGATGAGTAGTTCTTCCATCGCACCCGGTACAGCACCTCTCCCTGTACAAATGTCAGAGGTCAAAAATCATGGCCTCCCATGGGGGTGTAGTAAGTTGTGGAGTGGTAAGGGAAGGGAAACACAAAAAAGGCTTCTGATCCAGTCAGTTTAACTTCACTCTCACTGAGTAAGAGCACATGCAACAAAATGAACAAGTACATTTTAAATGGCTTTGTAAGCTATAATTTGACAGCTATAATTTAATGCACTTATAAATACACAGCAGTTTGTATTTGTACTCTGCACTCCCTGTTGCCCATTTAATAACTTCTGATACTTTTTTTGCCATGTTAATATAAGCGGCTTGATCGGTTATGTCAAGGGAGAGTGATCGGTTTCACTCATCCACAATGTGTGGATGGATCGTGTTTGTGTCAGAGACTTATTGTCTATGGAAGAGAAATATAAAATACATAAAATAAAATTCCTCAAATAAATATTAAAAGCCAAACACAAATAATAATGATAATATTGATGATGACTAGGGTTGGGTATCGAAAACCAGTTCCATTTTAGAACCGGTTCCAAATTTCCAAGAACTGGGTATTCGATAAGATGCGTGCATTTCGATTCTGCTTAACGATTCCTACGTTTGCATTTTAATGTGATTAAAAACGATTTAAGTGTGAAACAGAAAGAACTTGCGGTACGGGCAAAGAGTATAGAAGCCATTTGTTACGGGTTCCCAGTTTGTGCTACATGAGAGAACGATGAGAGGGGTGATGTTTATAGGAGACATTAAGGCAGTAATTAATGCTTAGCAGATGCATCCCAAGCTCCACAGGTTAGTTTCAAAGGGAAGTTCATTATCCGCTGCGTTGCTAAGTAACAAACACTGCTGAATCCCGGCTCCTTTTATTTCATGTGACTCTATCTGGAGGATTAATAATAGCCGAATATCAAAGCCAAATAATAATTTGTTTTAATCCCAATCGACAGAGTGGATGGGATCTCTTTCCACTTTTACATCTGCTGGTTTCACGACACTAACAAGCAACTCACCATACTTTTGTGGCTGTTGTATGTTAACTCAAATCTGTCTTTGTCTTAAAGTGTGAGATACTGCTGGTAGGTTTGCACCCATTTCGAGAGCCTTGGCTTAGATTAGAGTGCTAGTTTCCTGTACAACTGCCTCTGTGCAGGAAGAATCAGCAGTGAGAATCGGTTAATCACTGTATTTTTGTAAACAAGCGAGTCTGAGAGTGGTTGTCATTGGCTCACAGCCATCACTGTCTCATCTTACAGTCAGTATGAATGGACACCACCTGGATAAAATTGTGACGGATGCTTAGACTGACACACAAAGACACAGAAATATTTCTCAATCAAAAAGGCATTTTATCACATAGCTTTCTTGCAGGGTCACAAATGAGCAAGGTCTCGATACAAAAATACCACTGGAAAGGACTAAAATGCCTCGTATTCAAAAAGTGAGGGCAAACAAATAATTTTTTTTTAAGTAATCAAGCATTAACTATCATTCTGTGCCTATCCAATTATGGGTTTACAACATAACAGTGACCTTTAGCAGTCACAGAAATTGCTATTTGCTTTCTCAGAGTTGATTGTTGTTAAATATACACTACTGTTCAAAAGGGGTCTATAAGATTTTTTTTTAAATAATTTTAATTAGTCTCTTATGCTCACCAAAGCTGCACTTATTTGATCAAAAACAGTAAATATTGTCAAATATAATTACAATTAACAGTTTTTTATTTGAATATATTTTAAAATGTAATTTATTCCTGTGATGCAAAGCTGAATTTTCAGCAGCCGTTACTCCAGTCTTCAGCATCGCATGATCCTACATAAATCTTTACATCATAAAATATAATATATAATATTATTATGGAAACTGTGATACATTCTCTATAGTCTTTTTGATCTTACTGACCCCAAACATTTGAACAGTATTGTATATTTAATGTATTTGTTGCTGTATAATATAAAGTGATCAATCAGTTTTTAAAAAATGGGTAAAGCATAGCCTTTATTGTGTTATGACATCTTGTGCACTGATCACAGATAGTTTTGATTGTCATGTTGATTTAATTGATTTAATAACACAAGTCATAATTATTGCAGACTAAGAATTTCATGTAATTTATTTTAACTTAAGTATGAGATAAATAAATGGATCCCCTTAAATGGAAATATTGTTGCACACATAAACTTCACATATCACCTGTTCTTTGAGTATTATTGACGCACAGGTCCACAAACACACACACACACACCCTTGTGATATTTCTAGATAAGACGCTGCTGAATGTAGCTTCACTAAAATAAACTAAAGCAGTCTGGCATGAAGTGATCAGTCATTCTCGCATTGAACGCAGTTGGAACGGCACCATAAAACAGTCTCCCAGAAATCATTCAGTCAGAATATCACATCTGCTCAATGCTCAGGCAACCCAGGATCTCCAGACCTGAAGGTGAGGAAAGTGATCTGTAATGGGATATTCCCCTCTCTCTCTCTTTATGAAAGCCCAAGAGGCCTTTGCATAGAGCACCTAGACGGGAACAGGAGAACATAGACTCCAAACGGATCCCAACCCCATCTCGCAAACACACATCTACAGACCAAATCCATGTCTAATACGGCTCCCCATAGTACAGCAACACTATTCCAGGGGCTGTTACTCCACCTAAAAATAATCTAAATTCCTGAATAAGTATTCCATTCAGATAAAAAAAAATGACTTATAAAACAAAATGCTGAATCATTGTTACGCATTCCCGTCAGTAGGACCATGCACAAAGGGCTAACAATACATACGAGATAGAGATTTATTTATATTTCTACGTTTACACAGCGAGCTTGCACATTGCGTGATCATATGCATGAGCATAAGACTTAAACATCCATACGTTTCTCTTTTCTATCCATTTCTATTCAAAGAGCACTAGTAATGTGTCAGATATAATAGCGCGAGTTATGGATGCTGTAAACAACTGTGCAATGCATATCAACTCTTGAATGCTGTCAAGTGTTTTCCTCCGCATGAAACACCACTCTTAGTGTTCGGAACTCATTTTGGCCGCGGGTAGATTTAGTCCGTGGTTTAAAGTGGTAATTCATCCAGATTTAAGCAGGTTTGATGTAAACAAGAAGAGCCGTTGAAACTGAATCTCGTGGCTCAAACCGGGACGGAGCTGAGCTGAGCTAACCGCCAGAAAGTTACAACGACTGAATACATCCTCTCTGCACTGCGGGAAGTTGCCGTTTTAGGGCGAACAGGCCGTAAAATCACCCTTTTGACTATTTATTTAGCCTTATCCTATTAATTATACACGCGTCTGCAGTATTTACAGTAATAGCAATATGCTACGTCGCTAGCAAGATGGCATCCGAAGCTCCGCCACAAACACTCTCCCTCACCTCCACCACTCGCGTATCAATAATCCTCTCCACTTCATATACATCTTCTTCATCCTGTTCGCTGTCTCCAGGCTCCGCTCTCTCGGCTCCGGTAGTCATTTATGCTTTAACTAAGCAAAATATTGACGCTATGTGTTGTATATATATATGTGTGCTAACAACATGAAGGCCGCACGGCAGCAGAACTAGTGCACATACACACGGATACAGCAGCAGCGCACTTGCGGTGATAGTACTCGGTGTTGCCAGATTGCGCAAGAAAAACGCGCATTATGGATTGGAAAAAACAACAGCCTCAAGGTCGTGTATTTCTATTCGGACATGGCAACACGTGGAGTACTACAACAGGAGGAGGCTCCCTGTGTGTGTGTGTGTGTGTGTAAACGGTGACAGATGATATGACTGAGGTTACCTTCTCCCACCGCTAAATATATCATAAAAATATAAAAAATTAGGTGAAGTGACTTTCGCTAAAATCGATAATTTGACTTCTCCAATAAGATGTTAAACATTTAAAATAAATATTTCATTTATATTATACATTTAATTAAAAAATATTGTAAAATAATAACTTAAAATAAAAATCAAATATATAAAATATTAATGAAATAAAATATTTATAAATAAAATAGTATTTTCAGTATTACTTCTCAATAAGGATGTTAAATATTAATGAGTTAACCCAATAATTAACCTGAACTAACAATTAACAGTACTTTTACAACTATAAAACATTTGACTTTCAATGTTAAAATGTATTTGTATGTTAATAATGAATTTATTTATGCATTATGAACTAAAAATTAATAATTGTATACCAATTTCTATAAATGAACATTAACCAAATGATGTGAAAAAATATTGTGTTACCTTGATTCATTGAAAGATGCATCAACACATGTATGTAAATAGTAACACTAAAATACATACATGTTTATGCATAGATTAAATTGGCATTTTTATTATTTACTAAGTAGGCCTACTTATTTACAGCTATTTTTAAATTTAATGTTTATTTGATTTTATATGAAACACTTATCATTTTTTATCATTGCTAGTTGCAGCCCTAAATCAGTTGAATTGGAATTCTCAGTCTGAAAAATTATGACATAATTTTTTCAGAATTTCAAAGTAATTTAATTAGGGCTGCAACTAACGATTAAGAACTGATTAATCTGTCAATTATTTCCTCAATTATTCAGATAAAAAAAAACATTTATTTTATAAAGCACACTTTATTTTTTATATCTGACACAAGCATTCTTTCAAAGGTAAAGTTACTATGCGAGGACATTCCTTTTATTTCCTTAGGTTTTTGATAAAATTATATCAATAAAATCTCAGACTAGAATGTGTGAAGTCTATGTTCATTTGTAGGTTAAGGCTGGTTTGCATATTGTTTCAACATATAATTTTGTTTTTCATTAGAGATCTTATGCTAATGGATTGCTGTGGTTCATCATCATCATCATCATCATCATCACCAACAACAACAACATATGACCAACACCACTACAATCTCCTGTAAAAGCAATTTAATTTACAAAGGTCCCGATTATGTTTTTTTTCTTTCAGTTTAAACTTAACAACTTCACAATGCCATTAGAAGTCTTGCATAGATCGACATGACTTTATGCTGGCTATTAAAGAACAGCACCAACACATCTACATGACACAATGTAAAAAATCTCAGACTTATTGCACAAAGAACATTGTTTTGGTTTTTGTTTTCAGAAAAAAATCACATTCACAGATCTTTAAGAGACTTTGTGCATGCACTGATTTTGACATAAGAAGTTAGGAAAGGCTCTTGTAAAAAAAAAACAGTTTTAATGAAGTTAGATGATGCAACCCATCATACAAAAAAATCATTTTAAACCAGTAAAGAGATTTGTAACGGCAATTTAATTACATACAGAAAATAAAACCCTTTTAAAATTAATTGCTTACATAAAAATGTGGCACATTTTGGAAAAGCAGCATTTGATGAATTAGCCGACAATGGTTCCTTTTCAAAACTTTCAGTAAGCATTTTTTAAGAAGTGCTAAGAATTGAATGACCAAGGTTCTTTTGATTTGACCTGCTTGATTGCGTTAAAGAAAACATGATTATTTCTGACATGGTGTCCTCAGATATCTTAGCATTCAATGCTCAGTTAATTTGAAGTAACACAGATATGTCCACTCCTTAATACCCTAAGATGACATGATGCCACATGACTTGTCATGAAACTGACAATTTTCTTCATTACTGTCTGGGCTTAAAAACCCAAAACCCAGACTCCTTGGTCACAGAGTGCAGGTAACTGTAAAATGTTTTGCTAATTTGGCTTCAGAACATTGTTTCCACAATTGATTTGTGAAGTTTAAGAACGTCTGTACATGGTATTATGATAGATTAGCACTGATCCGGATCCACTGCAGCCCTTGCCTGGTGTACTGGACGATATGAGCCATGCTGCTATGCAGAGTCAAGGGTCCAGTAAGTGTGTTCAGATAGTTGAAAAATTCTGGTGTGGGTGTGAGAGAGAATAATTTATTTGCCACAATAAATAAATAAATAAATACACACTGTGAGAAAGGGTGTTTTTGTCAAAAATAAAATACAATAAACAAATAAAACTTGAATAAATGACAATAAATATCAAAATGTAACATTTTAAAAAATAGTAATAAAAATGTATAATAAAAATAGAAAAAATAATTGATAAATAGCAAATACATGTTTTTCTAAATTATTAAAATGGCCCCTATGAGACAGAAAAAGTACAGTTTTTCCAAGCAGAACTGATTCAAAACTCACCCTTATTTTCTTTGGCCAGTGTATCAGCCACCTCCCAGTATTCATAACTGTACAGGACACTGTTGGTGATGTTGAGGTGATTTGCTGTCATCTGGTGGATACGATGGGGAATGCTGATAACACTGCTCTGTGAGCTGCCTGTGTGAGACCCCATTATATTGACAGAGCAAATAGAGGCAGGAGGTACAGTTCCCCTGTAAAAGCACAAATACAGATGTACTGACACCCAAACACAACATAAAGGTCTCTCACAGTGGGTGTGTAAATTAATTCAAGGCCCAACTATCACTAACTCTTACTTTCCAGCAACGTTCCAAGAAGGGGGTTTGTGAGGTCCTTTTGGAGAACTCTAATCAAAGTAAAAACAGTTATAAGAATGAGTAAATCTTTGAACATGACAACTTTAACAAACTATATTGGCAGGTATTTTTTCAACTGTCCTTTGCATATTGATGTATGATAACTGATAACCGCCTACTTTGAAGTAGTCCAGCAGGACTTTGGAGTATTTTAGAGCGTTGTCCTTTTTAAGTCTGAACATTTGCCAATAAAGAAGAGCAAGACAGCGGAAACTGCAACCCAGAAACAAAATTTGTGTTTTGTCAACAGAATTTAACATGATCAAGATTCAGCAAATCAAAACGAGAATACAGACAGTTGAAGATTTTTGCAGTGTTGTATTTACCATAGTACAGCTAGCTGTTTGTCTTCCTGGCTGGCTCCAGGTCCGGCATTACTCTTAAGGCTCATAGCATATCTATCCAACACATAGAACATGTCAAATCAGTACAGAACTTCTGACAAACATAGGGCCTTTTCTGGCCAGTTCTGTTTTAGCATCTGTCAAATATCGGTCATTGTGAAAACATCAAATCTATTGACATTGTATTTGCATGTTTTGTGGCCTGTTGTTGATCTTATCACAGCACTTATTCAAACCAACATCTACCCTAAGTAAAACATAGTCAGTATGCATCCTGTCACAAGGAGTTACCCAGTCATGTGATGTCTGGCCTATGGAAAATGCTGGGTGAAAAAATACAGAAAACGAAAAAAAAAAAAGAACAACAGAAAGGGTGAAAGAGAAAAATAAAACTCTTAAACACCTTATGAGCTCTACAGTTTCAGCATACATGGTGCAGGGGGACTTGGACTCCAGCGGTCCCTCTTCCATGGCTTTACCACACTCCATGAAGGACAAAGCAGCATCCACATAATTCACAGCTTTTCCTAACTTATCCACCTGCAAACAGGGATAGAGACAAAAGGAGAAAAGAAAGCAGTCGATTAATTAGTTACAGAGGATACAGACCAAAGATTTTCATCCTTGTTTTGGTCTATGATTCTCTTTTTGGGTTCTATAATCCTTGGGACGCCACTCTCTGTCATATAGCAGTTGAAAAAGCAGCTTTTTTCTGTCTTTCTTTTCTTTTTTTAAACAAAATTACAGTTTGCAGCATAAAAAAAGATTCCTAAAAATCTCAGGCAACTCCACAAAAAAAAAAAAAACCTGCCACTTTTTTTTTTAAAGATACACATTTGTACCTAAAAGCTACTGCCCCAGTGACAGCTTTTGTCATTTCTATTTTTTTGTTTTCCTGAGAATGCATGTGGGGTTGTGACTTCTGACTCTGTAATAGTCTAGACTAGTGGTAATCAGTGTCAGGGAAAGTTACTTTTAAAAATAATGCATTACAATATTATTATGCATTACTCCCTAAAAAATTAACTAATTACGCTAGTTACTTTTTATGGAAAGTAATGCATTACATTACTTTTGCATTACGTTTTCTCACCTGGGCTTGCTAACAAAAAATTTATTAATAACAACAACAATAAATAAATAAAATAACTAAATTAAAAAAGAAAAAAAAAGAAAAACACGTGACATTTAACTAAAGTCATTTTTGGTTGAATTGGACCATGTGTTATTTAAAAGTTTGCATTTTACTGTTTTTATTAATTTCTAGGAATACTGATTCTGTTTTTGTGCAAGTGAGATGAGTAAATGCATGTTCACATTTAGTCTAGAACTACAATAACCATCATGTTTACACAGAGCACACAACTCCTCTACATCTCACTCACGATTTCTCTCAACATGAGGTCTCAATCAATAAATGGGAAAAAAAAGTAACTTGCGTTTCTTATTTGAAAAAGTAACTCAGATATTTTGTTGCAAATTTAAAAATAATGCGTTACTTTCCTAGTTACTTGAAAAAAGTAATCTGATTACGTAACTTGAGTTACTTGTAATGCATCTCCCCCAACACTGGTGGTAATATTCAATAATGTCAACATTCACAATGCTGTTTTACCATTGCATCTGCTCGATGTTTCAACCTCTTGGCCTCATGCATGTAGTACTCAGCATGATGTGAGCTAACATCAAGGGAAGAAAGGAGAGATTAGGTAAGAACTATGGAAAGGTATTTGACATTAAATGCAGCAGCACTGTAAAATGAAACAGAGGCATTAACAGACATTTACTCACACATCACTGATAG